CCCGTCACTCCAGCATCCCCTTAAGTTCATAATATCACTTTAAATTATAAAGTTTTGAAACAAATATCACTTATAATAACGCAAAGTTGTAACTTAATAATTATTCTGACTGATCAGTCTTTTTCAGAAACAGAGACTGCTTTACAAATATAGCCTGTTGCACAAGCGGAACCTGTTTGATACACAGTGTCTTGTTATTTAATTTTTTAAGTTCATAATATCACTTTTAAAGAAAATTAAATTATAAAATTTCGAAACAAATATCACTTATAATAATGCGAAGTTGTAACTTAATAATTATTCTGACTGATCACAGTCTTTTTCAGAAACAGAGACTTCTTTACTAATATAGCCTGTTGCACAAGCGGAACCTGTTTGACACGCAGTATCTTGTGCTTTTTTTTTCAATTGAAACTTACTGCGTTCTTTACTTCTAACTAACCAATTTTTTATTACTTCTACGATGTCCGATTCTGTTGCAGATTTTGTTTTGGGGTTCAGTCGAACAACACCTAAAATCATACAGTGAATATAAAACTATGTCCGCATTTGAGTTGAGACTTACAATGTAACTGTGGAACGTAACCGGTGTCTCAGGTTCACAAGTCAATGATCAAATCTACGAGTATATCAATTTCATTTTTCGAACCGTTCGATTTGATATCGTCTAAATTCTCCATTCATCTTCGTAAAATGTTACAATAAAGAATATATTCGATATCAAATCAAACGATCCAAAAAATCAAATTGATATCGATTTATGAACCCAGGATCGACAGATCTGCGAACTTTAACGCGTAACATCGTCGCATAATACACGTATTGCAGGGTTACATCTTGAGATTCGGAACGACCTACTGATTGTCAATACTTCTTTGTCACGCACATAATAATGTTAGGCATTAATACAGTTACGCATTAATACAGTTACGCAGTATTGGATACACATTAGATTGAACTATAAACCTATAAGATATGTATTAAATAAAAAATAGTAGAATCAAGGAATGAAAGCGATGAAGTTATGTAACAAGATTAAGTTCGAAATAAAATTTTTCTATTTGACTATCACATTGAGTATCATTTGGTTACGTAACACAGTCACGAGGCTAGGCTCAAGGATGTATACGTATTTAAAATTATTTTTAAGTAGAGTGTACAAAATAATATATTTACCAATGATAACTTGGATGAACTTAAACGATTTAAAAGCTTTTTTTTTGCCGAACTCCTTCCCACGAATACAGCATCCCAACTTCGTTTGAAATAACTCTCGACATAACGCTCTTGATTACATGGGAAAGATTCACGCCTCCAATTAAACGCAGTTGATGACTCTAAAATATAAAATTCATAAAATAATAGAAAAATTATTTGTTAGAAAATAACTTTTACCATGTATAATAACCTCGTAAAATATAAGGTAATCTTACACACCAATGCCTGTATGTTATCAGCTGAACTCGATAGCCATTCTTCCATCAACATTAGTTGCTGCTCTGTAGTGACTGGAAACGATTGTATTAGAGTCTTAACAGCCGCATTAGTATCATCATAAAGTTGTGGCTCATCAGTACATCTGACTTTTTTAATGAGTATATCAACGTTACTCATAAGATCATTTAACTTCAAATGAATCAGATGAATTTCTTTAAAAAGTTGTTTTTTGAATTCTGAAAATTTGAAAGTTGAGTTGTATTACAATTATTATTAGAATATTATACAAAAAAGTGTATTAAAAAATACAAAATACATATAATAGTAATAAATAAAAATATTTATTTACCAGCATTTACACGAACGTTTTCTGTAGCTGGCTTGAAGGTATCTTAAAATAACAAGAACATATGAATCAATTAATAAATAGTGGTTATTTTATTTAATTGATTATTATATTAAGATAGTACACGAATGAATTCAATGCAGAAAACATTTCAACAAATGTATTCCTATAGTAGCACACTATAGCAGACTGTCGCAAGCCCGCCGTACCTACCATAAGAATACATATGTTGATAACTTTTTCCGCGTTGAATCCATGCGTGCTACCGATCTTACAGTGTAATAAATTGATATATTATTAGAATTAAAAAACATCAATTTTGAAATAATAATTTTTACATGTATATTATAATGGTTATGTTATCTTAAACAAAAGTAGATATTAAAATGTATAAATCGCTAAGCCGTCGGACGTGTTGCGTATCCGTGTATTACATGGTCTGTCCTTAAAGTAGTCGGACTGAGTCAATTACAAAATATTTATCGACTGAAATAATATATGCGCTCAATATTCTTCAAAGTAGGACCCTTCTGCATCCACACACCGCTGGCAGCGGGATTTCCAGCCCTCATACGCTTCCTGGAAGGCGGCAGCCGGAATGCTGTTGAGCTCCCTCGTCACGGCCTGTTGTAACGCTTCCACCGAGCCGTGATCGTTTCCTTTCAGGGCGGTTTTGAGGCGGGGGAAGAGGAAAAAGTCTGGTGGGGCAACGTCGGGACTGTAGGGTGGCTGAGGCAGGGTTGCGATGTTGTGTTGGGCCAGGTACGTCACCACGCGGAAGGCTGTGTGGCTCGGCACATTGTCGTGATGGAGCCGCTAGGAGTTGGCGATGGCTGGGCGGACGCGGATGCGTTTTCTCAGCCGTTCAAGGACCTCCACGTTGTTGTGCTGCCGGCTGGGTCGGAGCACGGTAATCGGGGATCGTTGCCGGAATTAGGACTCACGACAGCTTAAGGCCATAAGCCAATAATTTAACCAACACCTTGTTATTAAAAATTCTATATTGATATGTACACTCGTACAGTTCATTTTAGATTGGCCCGCCTTCCTTTCTTTCCATTCCATTTTATATCAACCGCGCTTGGCCCTGTTGTTAGGCCGTTTATTGGTTAGTAAGCGGTTTTTCCCTTAGCAACTGTATGCGCGGCTTCGATGGTTTCGTACTTTGTTCCGGGTATTCGTTTTCGTCGCATGCGGCAGGGGTTATCTGACACCTTGCCGCATGCGAGGTCGTCATCTGATGTGCGGTGCATCGCACTCATGACAACGTAAAAAACTGCATTAAGGGTCTGTCCTTGTGGCACAATTTCCCTGTGGTTCACTCCTTTTGAATCGAAAACGCATCATCCGTGTCCGCCCAGCCATCGCCAACTCCTGGCGGCTCCATCACGACAATGCGCCGAGCCACACAGCCTTCCGCGTGGCGACGTACCTTTTTTTTTTTTTTTGACCCGGTGGAAATCCTCATGGACCGTCACCCGCCCCCCCTGGAGAGAGGGACGGGTGGTGTGTGGGACTCGTCTCCCTGGCACCTGGGAAGGTGGCCCAGAGCCAGTAGTGCAACGGAGACGCCTACCGCACTAAAACCACCGGGGGTGGACTTCTATGCGCTATATGGGAGCTGCCTGGGAACTGCATCGCATGACTGCCGTGACAGCCCCCGCGCCACGCGTAAATTCGCGCACCTCTCGGGCCCTTTCTTTCGGGCCAGGCCCTGAAAAGGGCCGTACTCCTCCATTGCGGCGAGGGTGCCACCGGCCCCTCGCCGCGCCCCCTAGTTATTTGTGGGGGAGGGCGGGCGTGGGTCTCCAGCCCACGTCCGCCCGCCAGGGGTCCTTACAGACTTCCCGGCTAATCTCCTTTTAGTCGCCTCTTACGACAGGCAGGAGATACCCCAGGCCTATTCTTACGGCGGAACCTGGACGCCAAAATTCCCCCCTGTTTCCCCCTTCTTCTTGACACACGGGGGGGG